CCCCAAAACCCCAAAACCCCAAAACCCCAAAACCCCAGTCTCTGAAGAATAGAGAATATTTTAATTAAGGATTTTTATAGAATCTTAATCAATAATAAACAAGAAACTAATTCTAAGCAAATTTGAGCATAATTATTAGTAGAATATGATAGATCCTAATGATAGATACGTGACTGAGATGCTGGCTCCTCAGCCTCAATATCTTCCCAGACCTGACCTAGCTTTAAATGTAGATGACATAATTGGCTTCCTCACTCATGATATGGATATAATTGACCAAAAAATCTAGCTTCCCATTGAGATTCAAAATATGTAAAAGCCCTTACTACAGCAGTAGCCATTACAATAAAACTTAGAGTACCAAGCAAACATCGCATCAAATTTGAGTGAACCAATACCAAGACCAGGTGCATATGACTTGAATACCTTTGAAGAGAATAAGTCTTCTACTTCCCCTGATAAATGGAGTACCATGTCTAATATATCAACAGATCCCAATCTAATACCACCACCTTCTATGACAAATCAACAGTAATAGTTTTAGACTCCTGAACTGACAATGTAAAATTAAGCTTACATACCATAGTATAATGTAAACAAGACCTTTGTTGAGAAGTTGAATGAGTTTAGGCAAAAGTAACAGTACTATCCTGAAGAGTAGAGGTTTTCTTATATTCAGGTTGAGATATTAGAGTATCTGAGAGATATCCTAGATATGATGTGTACAAGGAAGCAGAGCGTCAACTAGGAAAACAGATTATTTTTGATTGACTAATTATAAGGTAGACTAAAAGATCAGAAAATAGAAGTTGATCGAGATCAAATCGGTAGGGTGCTTGACTCACTAAAGAACATTCAAGAATCCCCAGGATTGAGTTAGGAAGACAAAAATCTGTTTTTAAAAAGAATGCTGGCTACCTATTACAAAGTTGGATTCGATGCTTATGTTGTGAACTAGGAAGAAAAAATGGAGAGAGAGTTGGAATCTACCTAGAAATTAGCTGTAAAATTATTATTGTTCATATTTTTAGATCAGAGAAGCTGCTTGGCTATCAAAACCAACATGGATTGTGCTAATGATATGTTACCTAGCTGATGCTGGGTTGAGCTACAGACAGTATCAGGAAGGAGTGATTTCATCTGAGGAGTTTAGGCATACCTCATCATTCCTTTCATTGTCCAAAGTTCCATCAGTATTAGGAGGAATATCAGGAACTGCGGTAGGATTTGTACTTGGATCTATGCTACTTCCCGGAGCTGGTAGCGTCTTAGGCTCTGTAATTGGCGGTTTGGCAGGTGGACTCATAGGAGACAGAACTTCTCTAGCGCCTTATTAGATAATGGAAGATAGAATTCAGTAAATGAAAGATATGAAGATTGTTGAATCTTAAGAGATCGAAACTGGAGAGCCAATTAAAATATTAATAACAAACGACAGATATGACGAAGCTTTAACAATTATTGGAGCAAGTGAAAATGAATCAATATCCTCAATCGAGGATAAGTATCTTGATAAGATGAAGTAACTTACAGATGAGGTGCACAGAGCAAAACTCAAGCAAGATATTTTCACCCAGCAGGAGACTCATCAGAAATTGCTATAGTTAAATAGAGCATACAGAGATGTCAGAAGAAGAAGAAATTACAGCTTTTGATCAATTATTTTTAGCAGGTTAAAAAATTTTTTTTAAATTGCAAAATATTAATATTATAATTAAACATTACTCAAGGGGTTTTGGGGTTTTGGGG